GGGCCGGGAGGCAGCATTGGGGAGGGAAAGGGCCATTTCTGGTCACTGAAAGCGCAGCTCATGCAATTGGCAGCGTCTATCCAAAGTCTTGATACCGGTTCTTTGCGTTGGGAACTTCGCTAATTTTACGCGGTGCGGCTGCAGATCGTCCACTCCAGCACATCAACAAAAAGGGGCGGCCGGTTTCGCAATGTCAGCACTGTCGGTCCATGCGCAAGTATCGCGCCTCGCATGTCAAGTGCGACTGTGGTGAAAAGACGAGCAAGTGTATTCACTTACAAGCCACGGTCGAGGGTCACAAGGGTGAGCATCCAGTCTTCGCTGTGCCGGGTTGATGAGGCTGTGCTTTGTCTGACTCTCATATCGTCTACTTGCAGAAAGCTGCTGTTGCAACCATGGCGGTCGTTGCACCTGCTGCCACAAGAAGGAGCATCCTCAGCTCGAGACCGTCCCCGAATCCGACTCGGACAAGAGCTTCTCTTCTGTGTCGCGAAGCTCCTCAAAGTCCGCTTCCCGTAGCAGACGCAGGGCCAACACAGCCAACTCGGATGCCATGCTGTCTTTCGACGCCAACGGACACCACAAGCCCACGTACAAGCATACCAGGCCCTCGCAAAAGTGCGGTCCTTACACGCTCAGCAGGGGTAACTCTATGCATAGCACCACCTCGAGCTTGGGAGCTCGCTCCGTCGATAGCTTGGACGTCAACGGCAGTGGTATTGCCATGCAGCGTGGAGCCCAGTCTGAGTCTGCTTCGCCACTCATGACGGGCTCGTCGACATTTGCCCAGCTCAACGGACAGCTCCCTCCTCTGGACATTTCCGGTATCAAGTATACCCCGTACGTCCCCAACAGCGCAGACTTTTTTGGCAGTCTCTCCGACAATGACCAGCCCCTGTTCAGCGCTGGTTTGAGCGCTACTTCCGTTGATTGGAGCCACTACGAGGGTCTCGACTTGGGCAACAAGTCGGCGGATTTTGCCCCGTCCAGCTATGGCCAGGCGCAAAGCTACGCCTCTTTCGATTATTACGGATCCGAGTCGCTTTCCACCTTGACCACCAACACATCTACCTCTGGCGATATCTCTGAAGTCGAGGACTTCTTACCAGCTCTTGATGACTGGGAGACCACATCAGGCTTTTGTGCCACCACACCCGGTAGCGGCTTTGGGTTTGGCCAGACCCAGCCTAGCCTTTACGGTGCCGCAGACCCTTTTCTCGACTTTGAGGAGTTCAAGATGATGAAGGCCGGTGCCAAGTTTTTGGGCAACAACTCGCCACTTAGCAGCGACGATTCCAGCCTCTTGACTAGCAACTTGCCCGATTTCACCAACTTCCCCCTCGAGGACGATCCAGCTTTTTGGATCACTCATTACGGCGGTTTGGCCCTCCAAGACCCCGCCCCGGCCGACGGCACTGTCCACCCGCTTTGGGATGGCTCATCATGACGAGATTTGATTTCAAGTTACACCAACGAAGCGATGTTTCTTGCCTTTTCTCGGATACCCATGCCCCGTTCTTAGTTTGAAATAACAACCCTTCCACATATACCGGCGGTCCGATACGACAACATGGCCCCTTGGGCTTGTTCGGTATCCAAACGACCAGAGTATGCACCAAACATGGAGGTGGCCATGATAGTTTTCTTTACATCGGCGCAGCAGGGAGTTGTTCTTCTGTCGTTTTCTCTTTTGCTTTCCTGTTTATTTTGGGTATTGAAGTGGCACGAACGAGACGAATCATTTGACTATTTTGTCTCTACCAGTTGCATCAAGGCTTGATTTTGTCTTGCTTGGATATGAAGGCATCGCATATACGGAGTTGGCGGCACAATAAAATAAGAGAGCGAAAACAAAAAGTTGGAAGGCCTTTTGCTATATCATCTGTTTTACATATACCATTTTCTATTTCACATGCATTTACGATCAGTCATTCTCGATTTCGCAGCCCCATCTAGCAACTTGCGATGCACCTGTCCTATTTACCGTTTCCAAGAGGTTTAGGAACGTCTTTTTGCTTCCGTGGCCAATACATACGCTTCGGTCACAGATCCTTATCAATGTCGCCATCATTGTCGTCCTTCAGTATCGTCGGAACCTGCTCCAACATTGTTCACCGACAGGAGGCCAACACACAAGGTGGATGACTGGCTTTACTGACTCGGCAGTCTCGTGTTTCTGCCCATGAAAAGAAGTGGATGGACTGCAGTCATCAAAACTGCACTAATAGCTTCGCGTTTCGTCGGATACGGTCCACCCGAGCCACCGAGCAAGACCGAGTTTGGTCCTAACCTCCCCCACTTGATCCACGATCAACCTTTTGTTGGCGGCTTCCACTTGTTGTTGGCATCGCAATCGTTGCTCGGGATCGACAGCTAAATTGCACCAAACAGCGTAGTGATAACGGAGGGAGTGGGCATCGGGCACCTAGCCCTAATTCTGGCTTGGCAGGCCCATCCTCGGTGAGGGCAGTGGAGTTCCAGGTCAGCGAGCTCGGTCAAAGCAATGTTGAAAACAGTCAGCAGCGCTGTGGTGAAGTTGTTCGTAAGAAGAGGGTGGGTAACGGCGTATGTAGCGCTGCTGTGGGGCCGCAAGGAGGGAATGCCTTGATGACGTTGAAAGGTGGACATGAAGCCACGCTATGCCGCCAGGGTTCAGAGCTTGCGAAGCTATGTAGCGGGCTTGGCTCATTCGGCAGTCTTCAAGTACCACCACCACAACCACAACTTCATCTGACGTTGCTGACCAGTTGGTTGTCGCATCCCTATTGCGCACATACCCTTCCTGTGATCAAACAGATTGATGGCAACTCGCAACTGTTGTTTCCAAAATCCCACCCCCGTGACGGTAATACGGACATCGGCGGCGGCATGGTTCACGATGCTGTCTAAGACTTCCTTACGTACATGCGGCGTAATACACATGCATCATTTTATATATGACCCACAAGCCTGTTGTGCTAGGGCTTGCAAGCGGCAAGGGCGGCCAAGCTAGGGCTCAGGCCGTGAGAACCTCTTCGTCGTCTCCTAGGTTACCATCTGGCATCTGGCAGACTGGCGCCAAGCTAGGCGAGCCAAGGTTCCAGCATGCCGGATCTGGTTTGGCTCAATGGCTTGGGTGGCACGGTGGGTAGGATGCCGATCCACAACCTGTGAAATCGAAATCGAAAATCCATTTCACAGGCGCATTTGACGCGCGCTGCGCAAATCTCAACTTTGCTCTTACCTACGGAACGGAATCGTTGACAAACCATCATCCGTCTTATCACACGTGCGCCATGCCACCGACAATGCGCCGGAGTGACGACAGACGGGGAGGAAGTCGCAGGTTGGAGTTGCTAACTACGATGCGATGACCCGCATGCGACGTCGATGTTTACATTTCATACGGCAAACATGATGTTTCAGGGGTAATTATAGGAGGTAAACAAAGACGATCGCCCAATTGCATGTGAGCATGGGGACAGGAAGTCCGGCACTGCCGGCTACGTATCGTTTGGCAATCCGGAGACCACTCCGACTTCAACGTCCAACCTCCACAAATTGGTGTTATTTCCGCTCCTTTGCCCCGTGGGCCCATTCTCCGTGATCTCCGGGTTTTCTGGAGTAAAAGCTGGAGAACGGGGTTGTTGTTGAGGAGGCGGTGCTTGTCTGATCTGCAAACGACCAGTAGACGGGCCATGTCGAACCATGATGAGCTGGTTGACCGGCGAAGTCGGTTTTCAAACAGCAGCTTGTGGAAGTAGCGGTGATTCATGTCAGCCGCAGTGCGAGGAGGCACCGAGGACGGAGCAATCCTTCCTTGACATTTTTATGTGCGACAAGTGGCCATGCGACGCAAGACAAGCCGAGACGAAAAGTGAAGCTATCCCCACTCTACCCCGACACTTGTCTCTGGATCGCTGATATTGAAACCGCACACGCGTGTGCGGATAATGCCGAAAAGAGATGGTCCATCGACTGGGATGCCATCGCTTGTCGATCCGCAGGCATCACTAAGCGCTGATATAGCGGAGCGGGTGGTGTCGTGCTTGCGACGACAACGGCAGGCTGTAACTCGAGGCTGTTGGGGACGTGCTCAAACTTTGCTAGGCTCGGTCGACAGCATCCAGGCTAGACATCAAATCCGAAGGAGATTCGGAAGGTCCTTCGGAGATAAACAACCGCACGTCTCGGTTTGTCAAAGCGGGATTGTGGGCCAAGCTACCCGATTGGGAGACCATCCTATCCCGGACCCGGAGGTGAAAGCGGTTCGGCAGGGACAGTGCCGGACACGGAAACTGTTGTTGCCGACTATCCATATCGATGTGCCACATCACGGCCGCTCACACGACACACACACACACACACACACAATACCTAACACAGCCGGAGCTTTGCCGCCCTCTTCGCCAACCTCGACATCTTATGATACGAAACCACCGAGACCATCAAATGAGGATCATTTTCGGACCCTGGGCAGTTTGCTCTCCGCTTAACTTGGTTTGGTGGCAACCTTCTCACAGGTTTCCGGGACATGTTCATAACTAATCATTGTCTCGATATTCATTTACGCATGTATCTCGAGCAACGCCATCGCGAAGCCACCGTGTCTCCAGGTCCTCGTCCCTTGAAGACTTCACGTACAGATCGGCCCGTTGCCGACCCCTCTACGTTGTAATCCCGGAGGCGAGGTAGACATAGTTTGTGTGCCTCCATGCGGCCGCCGAAACCCTAATCTTTATCCTCCGGGTCACGTATCGTCGCCCACACCGGGCCCGGTCTCGAGACTAGAGACCCGCCCGGAGCTGGCGTGTGACCGTCGCCAACCCAACCACGGAACGGACCGGGGGGAATACACGGCGCATAAAATTTTGATGGCAGAAGCAGGGACGTTCCCAGAGTCATGGGTCAAAGATACCTTGGAGGGTCCCCGCCATCCGCCCGCCCGCCCGCGACCCGTCGCGCGTCGTCCGTCCGTCAACTGTACATACTGTATCGTGTACATTCGTCTGATTGTAACTATGCGCACCTTAGTACCTCAGGACCTCAAGGTATCCCAAAACGGTGGACGTCGGTATGGGTCTCGTGGCCTCCGTTCTCGGTCGAATTTCATGATCAGCCACAAGCCGCCGGACGGCGCGCCAATGACTGTTCTCACCGACGAAACCCACTCCGAGCAACAATTGCTGTTGGGCAGACCACCGCCGCAATTCTGCACATCACGGACCACTGTGCACCTGGATGTTAAGGAGCTGGATAACAAACTCCGCGCCTTCATGTGAACGGCATCGTTTCTGGAGCCCGGTCTAGACTCAACCCTAGAAAAGCGCAAAGTCAAAGGGATGAACGGAATGCGATAAGATGAGACGAAAGCGAGACGAGCTATTGACGATCTATCGCATTAGATTTGCAGAACGGATCCTTCACCAACCATGGGGAGCACGGACTCCGATAGAGTATATGCAACTTATAGTCCGAGTTGGGCTGCGACCTGGGAGGCTCAAAATGGCCGGGACTACCACGCCCGGTTACGGTAACCAGGACCGGGGCGTCATGCATATGATTGACTGGACTGCACTGGACTGCACTGGACTTCAACGTATCCATAATCATTATTTTCTCGCCACCCCCTTCATTTCATTCAGGCTAGAAAAAGAAGCCAAGCGATAGAAGAAGAAGAAGTTCTTAGTTGAACTTCATTTCTCGAAAATGATTGGATATGTGGGTTGAATGGGAGGCAACGGCAGTTGACGTGATAGACAATCGCAGCTGGATTGGTTCGGCAGTTGCATGAGGTGCTTGTCTTGGGACACTACAACCTCACTTACACCACAACAAAGGGCATGTGGTCTTTGATGTCCCAACACCGTCAATACGTACACACTCACACTGAGTAAGCGGAACAAGTTATCCCAAAGAAAGAGGGGATTAACGCCGGGCATCTCTTTCCACAACGCTCACCGGAGGAAAGCATCCACACAGCGAAGGATTTTTTTTTTTTTCGGTCAACCAACCAAACAATCCACTTCTTGCTGGGCTCCTCCCATCCATCCTCCCATCCAAGGCAAATCTCGATGTGATGGATTCGCACTGCCGGGATCCCAATCTGATAAGATGCACGGCGAAAGGGGCTAAGCCTGCCCTACCCTAAACCTACCCTACCATGCATGCCCTTGCCCTTGCCCTGGACTCTTTTGGAGCCCTCGCTTTGTCTTTCCCTTTCCTATCGTTACCCTGCCCTGCCCTGCCCTGCCCTGCCCTGCCCTAACCACACCCTCCCTACTAGGGCTAGGCTAGCTACACCCTATCTGAAGGGGCCACGTGAACAGATACGTACTAGGACTACCGCCGAATCTCCGGACCTCCGGGCCCCCCGGAAACCCGGACGCCCGGACGGTGATGGATCGTTCGTTTACTGTACCCTACGCATGAAAGTTATGAGAGAATGGTCTGATGCGTACATCCGATTACACTAACATGACCATATGCCTTTCTCACACCGGCTCCTTGAAACCAGTTCCTTCATTATATTACGATATCCTACTGTCGGCCTAAACTCTGGGTACCAGTCCAGGCACGGGAACGAAGCGAGGAAGAATAAAGGGGCGGGGGAAACACGGAGATGCGGGGCCACGAACACATTCAACGGCGACGGGGACACGGGGAGCTGTGGCTGCTGGACCGCTGGACTGTCTGGAGAATGGAGAGGGCGCCGCCGGTAGGACGAAACAATCCACAAAAAAAGAGGAAAGAGCCGAAGAAAATGGAGTTTGTGTGAGCGAGCGAGCTCGAGCGAGGATGCAAAGTGGATGAGCAAGATACCAAGCGGCTGACTGACATTGCCCTTGCTTGCAACTCTGACCTGGGACTGGCCTGGGGACTGGATTTGTTTTACGTACGCACAGCGGAACGTACACCCAGTTACGGGCTTCACCCAGGCTTCTTTGCTTCGCTGCCTTCTCGCAAGCTTTCCACTTGTTCAGTTCAGGAATCAGGGGTAACTGGTCAAACCAACCGACCATTCCCTGTGAGCTATGACCAGTCACAAAGAGGTACCGATTCTGAATTCTGGGAATCATGCATGGATGATGGCGGATGAGTGTCAGAGTGGCGGATGGATGAAAGCTGAAGAAGTGGAAGGGATAGGAAGGGAAGGGAAAAGGGAAGGGACGGTCCGCTTGCCCTTTCGTATTCGTGAGTATTCCGTGGAGGATGGGATTACGGGGTTGGGACTGTATGGTTACCGTATGGTACGGCACAGAATGGAAGGAAGGACTTACACTCTTACACCACTGGAGGACACACGGAGATGGGGTGAGGACAATACTGCTGCCCGGCTATCTCTATTAACATTTACACAATGGCAGGTACACTAAGTCGAGCGAGCGGTTGCTTTGATCTATCTATCTCCCTTAATCTGCCCATTTTGATGGAGGCAACTACCTACCTAGAGGGCAAGCCGGGCGAGTCACTGACTGAGTGTGTCAATACGGGGGGTCCCAGAGAAAGTATGAACGTGAGAAACAAAGGAATCTACCTAATGAAAGTCATGGGTGTAGATAGCGAAGGACCCATTGCTTGATTGGGAACTCAACGGCAGCTACACATACCAGGCCGATTACAACTTCGGAGCACGTTGTTGTTGTTGTTTTTGTTGTTGTTGTTGTTGTTGTTGTTGTTGTTGTTATAGAATGCGGATATCAACGGTCTATGTACTCCAAGTCATACGTAGCAGGCTACCTCTATACTACTTGGAACCTCGAAGTGTTCATCCTAGGTACCTAATAGAAGATCTATCTGTCTGCTTACGTTTGTATCAGAAAAAAGAACTTACGAAACAGATCCAAATATAATCATGATCAAGATGAAAGAAAGCTAAGCTAAGCTAAGCTATACGTAGGTAGGAAAGAAATGCCATACATAACAAATGGGATTGGATGTACAGTAAGACGAAATAGACCGGATGGAAAACCCCAAGAAAGAATCTGCCAGACTGGCACGTGTTGATACACTTGTAAATGCCATCACATGGGGATGAGACGAACACTAAGTCTAGAATCTAGTGTAGGGCCTGGTTTTTATTTTTATTTTTTTATTTTTTTAAAGAAACGTCGGGTGGTAGGCCGCCGAGAGCTGAGCCACCCACCTGTTCGAGATTTGCCGTCCCAGAAGAGAAGTGAAGTGAATGAATACGGTATGTAGTGTGTATGTGATACCGTAAGAAGTCAAAAAATAAAATAAAAAATATCTGAGGCAAACATGAAGACCGGTAAAGAAGAATCAAAGGAAAAAAAAGGTGTTGATAAGACAGTATATGGAAGAAGAAGAAGAAGAAGAAGAAACAGAGGAGTTTGTCCCTCTCTCCAACCGAAAAAAAAAAAAAAAAAAGAAAAGACAATTCTTGACAACTCCCGCACCGCTATAACCCATCTCGCCATCCATCTCCGTGAACCATCCATCGTGGTGTCAATCCATCCGATGCCGTCTTCCTTTCCATTCTCCAAAGAGCCACATGCTCTATTCTATATCCTACACGAGCATGATTGCCCACATGGCTGACCACCACCATCACGACTTTTCTTCAAACCATCCATTCCCGCCTGGCCTTATCATCCTGTTCATGTGTACCACAGTAAAGATGTTCCCCTCTTCGGTTAACAATAACCTTGGCTTGACGTCTCAAAAAAAACGGAAAACATGATTGACGCGGCTCAGTACCATACGTACCATTCGCCGCGCGGTATCAGGTGAGGTCACTGTACCATGATGCTTCCTCGTCACAGAACTCTTCTGACTCAGCACCAGTTTCGGTATCAACAACCAATTGACCGTTCAACCCCAATCCGTCCGACTCCACCCCATTCGTACCAGCTGCGTTCGTCCCATGATGAACCCCAGGAGCTATAACATAAACGGGAACAGGGACAGGGCCAGAAACAAGGCCAGGGCCATACCCAGAACTTGCAGCAGAACCCGGATAACTGACATTTATGGGAGTGAACCTCGAGCCGGGCGTCATCTCGACATCCCTATCCTCATCCCCATCCACATCTAACCCACCGTCCAGCACCAATAACGGTTCTAGATCTTCGAAATCCTACTTCGAAGTCCCATTCCCCGTCGCATTTCCGTTGCCATTTCCATTCCCATTCCCATTCACAACCCCATTCACAATGTTGTTATTGCCACCACCACCACCAGTCCCAATTCCACCACTCCCGCTCGCACTTGCACTGCTACCAGACCCATTCCCAGACCCATTAACACCGTTCCCAGTAGCGTCTACCACGCCGACCGGGTCATCGCCAAAACAAGCCAGATACCCAGCCTTCAGAAATACTTCCGGTTCATACGGTCTGGCTCTGTGACCTTGAATTTGTTGCTGGTGTTGTTGCAGCGTCTGAAGAACCAGTTGCTGCTGCTTCGCTACCACTTGTTGCAGCTGAGCCTGAGCCTGAGCCTGAGCCTGAGCTTGCGATAGGGGTATAGAGGAGGGCTGCTGCGGTTGCGCTGCTGCTTGCATTTGAGCTGGATGTTGCTGAACTTGTTGAGACTGTTGAGACTGTTGGGATTGGGGCGGGTGAGGCTGATGTTGAGAAGAAGCCTGAGCCTCTTTTGGATCAAACCGTTGTTGATGATACGGCTGCTGCTGCTGCTGCTGCTGGTGTTGTTGCTGCTGCTCCTGTGATGAGTTCTGCTGAACCTGAGACTGGGATTGCGGTTGTGATTGCGATTGCTGAGCAGCCTGCTGAACAGCCTGCTGAGCCTGTTTCTGCAATTGCAACTCCTGTTGCTGGCGCTGATAATGCTCGTATATCTCAGTAGCATTCAGACCCAGAGACCCGAACCCAGAACCAAGGGAGAGAGCGAGCGAAGCGGTCACGCTGGCTTGGTTGGCGGAAGTGGTGCCGTTGGGGGTGATGCCGTCCTCCTTGTTGGCGTTTTGATCAGCGGTCGTGGAGGATGTGCCATTAGCAGCAGCCTCTGCTACGGAGGCGGCAGTGTTCGTAGTGTCCCTGGCAGGTGCACCCTCCGCTGATTGTTGTGATTCTGGTTCTTGGACGGATGTAGAGGTCTCTGTCTGTCCTGGACCAGCAGCAATACCGTTTTCGTCAATCGGACTCGCTGACAATACATGCTGCTGCGGCTCTTGTTGTTGCTCAGCTTGCTGTTGTTGCTGCTGCTGCCTAGACTGGTGATCCTCCGGCCGGGTCTCAGGCTGAGGTTCAGTCTTAAACTCATGCTCCTCATCCGACCTGTACTCCGTCTTGAAATGCTGCTGCTGCTGCTCAGACTCGGAGTGCTCTACGCCGTTAGTATGGCGTTCCTCGTTGTTTCCGGTAGCAGCAGGACCTCCCATATCCATATCAACGTCCCGATCAGCACTTGATTCCCCACGAGCCTGTCCAGAATTGCCTTCGGGATCAAGAGAAGTTGGAATAACCTGGCCAGTCGGACTGACAGATGACAGCGCAGCATTCTGCTGTTGATGCGCTGCAGCGGCCGCCGCAACCGCCGCAGCTGCAGCAGCTACGGCGGCAGCGGAAGAAACCATGTTTTCCGCACTTGCGTCGTTGGCATTCTGTTCCACCCCAGCAGCCACAGTAGCCAAGTCTGCAAGCTGCTGTAGTGGCTGGCTTAGACTTTGGCTTTGTAGAACAGCCTGGAGTTGACTCTGGACTTGTGACTGGCTTGAAGCAGCGGCATTGTTGTTGTGGTTACCGTTAACCACCGCTGATGAGCTCCGTTCCCTGTTTACCAAGCTGGCACTCATGATCTTGTCCCGCACCACGCCGGTCCACGGACTGGCTGCTACCCGGTAGTCCAGCAAGTCCTTGAGCAAGCGGCCTGCGTCATCTCTCGTCCTCTCCAGCTTTTCAAGTTCTAGTAACGCCAGGGAAACCAGACTGATGAAGTGATGGTTGAGCGGAGTCAACAACTCCGGGTTACCAGTAAGGATGCCGACGATGTTGGCGCAATCTTGAAGGGCGAAGTCTGCCTTGGCTCCTCCCGAGCACAAGTCCACTAGCAGACGTACGTGCCAATACGCCAGCAGTAATGTTGGGTCAAAAGACGGGGGGGTGATGAGATCATCGGGGAACTGCCAGCGAAAGCTTTCCATCAGCGCATTGAGGAGGGATGCGACCAATGGCTTCTTGGTCGTCAGCGCTGCAATGTCCGAGGGCGATGGCGCCGACAAGGTAAGGAACAAGGGGATAAACTGTGTCAACAGGAAGGATATTTCTGCGACGCGATTGTCAGCAATTAAAAGCTCTCCCACCCCATCATTGGACCAAACAAACTCACTGGTGTAATTGTAAACCACATCCCCCATGATGTTCCTCAGTCCCGGCGCAACCACCACATCCGAGCTGATCATGCTCGGCGCCGCCGTACCTACCGCATTCCAGCGGTCCAAGGCAACCAGCGTCCACCACGCTCTCAGCGCGATGTTCTTCTCCGAATCAGGATCCAGGTCCATGCTCGGATTGATGTCAGGAGGAGGTGCAAGATACAATTTCATGATGTAGCCCAAGCCAACCGCCTCACCTAGAAGTGAAAGCTTCTTTGGACCACCGCGTTGACCCTTGACAGCACTGATGCCGCCGTAGTCCGCTTCGATAATGAGCATGATGAGCGTCTGGAGGCACACGAGGTCGGCGACTGGCGACGAAACCGTGCGAGGCTGGGAATCCCACTCGTTAAGAAGACCATGAGAGGTCAAGGAGTTGCAGTTCTCGCGGCCGGCTGACTCGGGGAGCATAGGGTTGAGCATGGCGAAAAGAGCGTGATAGAAGGCCTCTTGGAGAACTGGTGGGCATTGTGAGAGCATAGAGTGGACGCGGTCTTTCCTGCTGGCTAAGATTGGGAATATCCGATGAACGGAGTTTAGGTAGCTGGCACACAGTTAGTTAGCTTTCTTCTATCCCATTTACCTTCGATTTTGCTTCATGATACTCACCACTCAAAAGCAACATCCGAAATCTCCCTCGCTTGCTCCAGCGGCTCCTGGGATAAGCCATTACTAGCCAACCCATCCTGGGACGTCGCATCCGCAGCAGCCTCAGAGGCCTGCGTTTGTTGCACTCCATTCACATCCGGACTCTGCGACATAGCCAGCGGCTTCGGCGCAAGATCATTCACCGATTGGATATGGGGATAACTCGGGTGATACGGCCGAATCGGCCGATGCTCCGGCGCCCGATTAGCCTCCGATCCCCAACCGGCCAGTCGCTCATGAGCTGCTGGAGGAGTAAATGTCTCGCTCGAGATGCTCGAGTACGGCCTCTTCCTCCCATCATCGCCACCAGGGATGGGGGACCCAAACGCGTCAGCAGGCGTCGTCCTCCTCCTGTCAAGGGGGTCGGGCACGGAAGCACCGGTCAGTTTGCCTTCGATCGTGTTGATGCGGTCGGCCAGCTCCTTGATGTAGCCTTTGCTTGGGCCACGCTTCTGGGGGACGCGGCTAAAGAGACATGGGGCGGATGAACGCCGGCAGTTTGAACAGGGCTGGTCGGACACTTCGGATTGAGCGTCACACTTAATCTTCTTCCGACGACACTCATCGCAAGCTCTGGAGACCTTGCTACGCTTGCGTGGGGGAGTGTTATCTTGGACAGCAGCGCCATACTGAGGGTGCGCGCCAGCGAGATGATCAATGGAAATGTGAGAGGACAGGTGAGCTGTCGTAGGGCCAGGTGCCTGCTGCATCTGCGATACCTGTTGGACATAATGAGGGTGAGTCTGTACTGAAACCTGCGGTTGCTGTTGCTGTTGCTGGGTCTGCTGCTGTGATGCTTGAGATGGCTGCTGCTGTTGAGGTGACTGCTGCTGCTGCTGCTGCTCTTCTTGTTGACGATTCTGGTCCTGCTGCTGCTGTTGTTCTTGTTGCTGTTGTTGCTGCTGTTGTTCAGCATGGGACTGCATCACGCTCTGTAGCTCGTGGTTATGGTTCTGCAACTGGACCTGGAGTTGTTCCTGCAGGTCTGGGTCACCGGCGTCATTCTGCATTTCTACATCCTCGGTCTGGACAGGCACATCAACCTGAACCGGGACCTGTAACTGCTCTTCCTGGGCCTGGGTATGAGAAGCGGCGGCGGCAGCTATGACAGGGGCAAGATCCTGGGTCAACTGGGCAGCGAGCTGCAAATCTTCGTTACTTAGCGAAGGCCCCGGTCGTGCGTGCTGATTTGGCGAGACAGGGTCTTGTAGCTCTTGGAGTTCATGAAGGTCGTGGTTTTCATGATGCTCGTGCTGAGCTTGATGGTCGGTGACGGTGGAAAGGCCGTCTGGTTGATCTGCCCCGTCAGACTGGACGGCTTGATGCTGGTCTAACTCGCCTTCCCTTTGGGCCGAGATATGGTAGAACTGAGCATCGGTGGCCTCGACGCTGGAGGAAGGGTAAGGGTGCGAGATGCCGGTCATGACCTGGTCGGCTCCCGGGTCAGGCTTCTTTTCATCCATGGCGACTCGTGTCTATCATATGATGGTCTGTCGACCTATGCGATAGTATGCCTGATGTGTTCGTTGTGGTTGCCGCTGGTCACAATGAAGGACAGCGGCAATGAGATAGCTGGTGGACTGGCTAAGAGTCACTTTGGATTGCCATCAGTATTAGCGTTAGGTCGGGAATCATATGAATGGAACTGAACAGTAGAAAGGATGAAACAGTGGTGCGAAGGTACATGGAGACAAATTGTTGGAAAGATCAATTGAGGGTTTCCTATCGACATTGGACATGGACATGCACATGTGGTGGTAGTGGCCGGCAGTAGCAGCAGAGTGCAGTGGTAGTTGACAATCTAGGGCAACTAACACAGCGAGTGTGTGCAGGAGGAAATGAGAGATGGTAACAGGGAAAAAACAGCCAACAACAACCAAGGTGCAAATGACATCAAATGACGAACTTGCAACTTTGGTGTTTTGATACAAGAAAATGGATGATTGAAAGATTGACGGTATTTTGATGACAAAAAATGCGAAGTGATCCAGTGCAAATGGCAACCAATGCGGTGGATGACCAAAGTGGTGTGAAAATTTGGTGTTAAGTGGAAGACGCCATTGATTGATGGGGCAGTGGGCAGTAGTGTACAAAAAGATATGAAGATGGAGAGAAAGGGCAATTGGAAGTGATGGAAAATGAAGGCAAATGCGCGGTGCTCGTCTCTTCTCGTCTCGTGGACGTACCTGGAGGAATGTTTCCTCAAATTGAAACTATCCCACGTCGGATGGGAATAACTAGTTCACGCTCTCGCTGTCTCTCCTCGCAGCGGAAGAACTGACTGCTCCGAAGGATGGGAACAACGGGCTGCGGCTGGAGTTTTGACCGTGAGGAGAGACGAGATTGGACTGGAAGACGGCAAGTGGTCACTGCGCACCACACTAGGGTCGCCTCCAGCCTTCCCATTGGACGAGACCAATTCGACAGGGGGAAGGTTGCGTGCAGAAGCACAACATGGAGAAAATTTTGAAACTTTTTTTCTTATCATCTTATCAGACCCTCGATTGGGGTTACTGCGTGTTACAGACACGCCTGGGCACTAATGATGCACCCCTCCGCTCCTCCCGTCTTTCATTATGCCTCGGTGAAGGGAACGGTGACACGGTGAGACAGAAGCACCGCAACACCTTGTCCCTCAGCATATACAACATCTGCTTCCAGTCACCAACTACCTACATCACCATTGCTATATCGTACATCTTCACATAAGATACAAGGTTACACGGTATATAAAAGAACATGATTGACAAGAGAACTCGACAAAAGCTCGCTTGATTAAAAAAGTCAACGCCATGACATGGTGCCCACAGAACACCACCACCCCATTCCAACATGGCTATAGATAAACAGAATTAGGAGTCATTGATAAATGAACCAGATAATAAAGAGCCCGTAAAGCGTTGGCCAGCCTCCTTCCTCCCTGCCAAAAAGAAGAAGAAAAAATGGATGCAAAACCCGGAGGCGGCCGCGACCTTTTCCTTTTTCCATATTCCATCAGCATGAAATGATCATCAACCTCATTACATGCCGTCGCGATATCGTTGTGTGTTGTTGTATATATAACCCAACCCATATGATTTTTTCTCTTCCATTCCCGATCCCACTCACACGCCTCAACAAAAAGCACTCAAAAAGGAGCGTCTAACAATCAAGACGCGAAGCGGATCATGGATAGTCAAGACTTGATATCCGTAATCGACTGGAGCATCTGCGAGTTCTGGTTGCCCAGGTCCTCAGTAAACTCCGCCAGCTGGCTGACCATCTTTTGGGCCTTATTGATCTGTAGTCCATCGCCAATTTCTGTTAGAACATGTTTCTAAAGTGCTCTAAAAATACGTTTCTCTGGGTCTGGGTCTGGGGTAAGGGAATTAGGTTGTTAGAAGGAAGGGCAAAAGGGCAACAGCAAAAGAAGCCAAAAACAAAAAAATCAGGCAGGGGCTTGTCGCACCGAAGCTAATGCTGAGGATGAGTTGTCAGGCTCAATCTCACCTTCCGCCGCGGCCTTGTCGCCCTTGACCCCGTTGACGCCAGTCCCGTTGGTGAAGTGGCTCTGCAGCATCACAGTTAGAACCATCTTCCTGCCCATGACGAAGTGCCCGAACCAGAGGGACTTACCTTGGCCTCCGCGAGCTCAGCGTCCTTGACCTTCAGTAGCGCCTTGAGTTCGACAATCATCTTGTCCTCTTCGGCCAGCTTAGATGCGTAAGCTGCCTTCTGGTTCTGCTCCTCCTCGACCAACTGTGTCAGACTGTCGTGCATGTCCTTGTAGTCGGCCTCGAACGTCTTCTGCTTAGCCTCGGCCTCGAGCTTGAAGGCCTGGAACTCCTTGTGAAGAATGGCCACCTCCTCCCTGGCACTGGCTAGCTCAGCAGCGTGCTTCTTCGCGGCCTCGCTGGTAACGGTGAGCTCGCTCTCGAAGGACGTCCTCTGGGCAACGAGATCTTGCTCGAAGGCGGCCTTGAGGGCCTCCTTCTGCTCCTGGAGTTCCTGCTCATGGGCAGCCTTGATCGCCGCGAGCTCCTGCCTGAGGGAATCGAGCTCCCTGGTATCCGGCCTGGCATTCTTGACGGCATCCAACTCGGCCTGAGCAGTGAACTTCTCCATCTTCTCCATTGCCAACTGCTGGCTGACATTGTCCAACTCTTCTTGGGCCTTGTCGTGCTCAATCTTGATAGAGGCAAGAGCCATCTCAAGGTCATGCTTGGCAGCCTCGAGCTTGGCCAAGCCCTCAGTCTGCTCTTTGAGAGCAGCCTCATGGGCGGCCTTGAGGTTCTCGATGGCCTTGTCGTGTTCCGCATTCAGGGCCTCAAGCTGAGCCTTGACGTTCGCCGCGTTCTCCTTCCTCAAAGCCTCCTGGGCTTCTTGGTGTGCCGAAATCATCTTCTCGAACTCGGCGGCGTTGCTGTCCTCCAACTCCCTTCTCGCCTGCTCAGCGGTTTGGTGGGCAGCGGCGAGATTGGCCTCTGCCCCAGCAAGCTTCGCTTGGACAGCCTCGAGGTCGCCCTTGAGGCTGGTAGAGCCCTCAACTTCGCTTGTCAGTCTCTTCAACTCCTCCACGTGCCTGGCCTTAACATCCTCAAGATCCTGCTTGAGGCTGTTTGCGTTTTCGAGCTCGCTCATCAGCTTCTGCACCTCCTGGGCATGGATGGCCTTCAGCTCCTCGAGGTCCTCCTTGAGGTGGCTACCGTTCTCGAGTTCCGCCGTGAGCTTCTGGACCTCCTCGACATGCTTAGCCTCGAGCTCCTCAAGCTGCTTCTTAAGGCTTTGGCCACTCTCAAGTTCAGCCTTGAGTTGCTCAAGCTCTCCGGAATGCTTCTTCTTTAACTCGTCGAGTTCAATCTTGATTTGGTTAGCGTTCTCAAGCTGGCCCATCAAGTTCTGAATCTCCTCGGAGTGCTTGGCCTGGAGCTCCTTCTTGAGATCTTCCAACTGGGAAGCGTTGCTGCCATCGACAGACTTCTGAGCAACGGCAAGCTCTTCGGCGTGGCTGGCCTTTAGTGCCTCAAGTTCCTTAGCCAGAGCAGCTGCGCTCTCACCCTTGAGGATATCGATTTGGCTAGAATGGCTAGTCTTGAGGGCCTCAAGCTGCTCGAGGCTGGCTTCTTCAGCCTGCTGTCTGGCAGCGGCCTTGGCACTCTCGAGCTCCTCGGCGAGGCTGGCCCTCAAGGCGTCCAAAGCTTTTTGATGCTCGGCCTCCTTGGCTTCCAGGGCCTTGACAGCAGCTTCATGCTCGGACTTGGCGGACTCAAGGGCCTTGGCGTGCTCCTCAGCAGAGTCCTCGTGAGACTTGGTGAGCTCGGCGTACTTGACTTCAAGCTCCTGGAACTTGCGCTTGAAGAAAGCATCACCCTTGAGGCTTTCGATCTCGTCCTCGTAGTCCTTGCTGACCTGCTGCAACTGCTTCTGGTGGTGATCATCGGCGGCCTTGTGTTCCTCCTTGAGCTTCTCGATGGTAGCCTCCTTCTCCTTGGCCTCCTCGGTGAGCTCATCAACACGCTTTTGAAGCTCAGCAGTGGCAGCCAGATCCTCCTGCAGTTTGGCAATGGTGGCTTCCTTGGTCTTGGCTTCTTCGGTGAGCTCTTGAATACGCTTTTGGAGCTCTTCGGCAGCGGCGACCTCCTCCTTAAGCTGGGTGATAGTAGCTTCATTGTCCTTGCTGTCGTTGCTAAGCTCATCGATGCGCTTCTGGAGCTCGTCCGAACCGGTGGTGGTGTCCTTCAATTGGGCAATGGTGGCCTCCTTGTCCTTGGCCTCGGCCTCAAGTTCCTGAATGCGCTTCTGAAGGTCTTCGGCAGCCGACGTCTCCTCCTTCAGCTTGGCAAGAGTGGCCTCGTAGGTGGTGTTCTCTTCGGTAAGCTGTTCAATGCGCTTCTGGAGTTCCTCTGCAGAAGCAGTCTCCTTCTTGAGCTTGGCAATGATGGCCTCCTGAGACTTGGTCTCCTCAGTAAGCTCGTCGATACGCTTCTGGAGCTCGGCGTGAGTGGCAGCGGCCTTGCTCGCTTCCTCCTTGGCCGCCGACAGCTCAGTCTCCATATCAGCGACCTTGGCCTCCAAAGAAGCAAAGGAGGCCACCTTGGATTCGAGCTCGGCCTTGGCCGACTCAGCGTTCTGCTCGGAAGCCTCGAGTTTGGCCTTCAGCTCGGCAATCTGGGATTCCAAGGCCTCGAGCTTAGTGGCATCAGCGTCGTTGGCAGCCTGCGAGGAGGACAACTCGTCAATCTTCTTCTGGAGCTCGGCAATGGCACTCTCGTGGCTAGCCTTCAACTCCTGGATGGCCTTTTCGTGAGCCTCGGTCGCTCCGTCATCGCCGTCTTGTTGCTCCTGAGCGAACTTGGTCTTGAGCTCCACTAGGGCTTGCTCATGCTGCTCGGTAAGAGTAGCCTTGAGAGTCTCGATCTCAGCACTGTGCTCCTCATTGGTCTTGCTGAGGTTGGCCTCAGCTTCAGCCAGCTTGGCCTGGTATTCAGCCTCCAGGGCATCCAAAGACTCCTTCAGGTTGGCGACCTCGGAATCTGCAACATCCTTGGACCCCGCAGCGTCGGAAAGCTGGCTCTTCTGAGCAACAAGCTCAGTCTCGGCAGAGGAAAGCTTCTCCTGCAACTCGGCAATCTGCTTGTTGAGGGCCTCGATCTCAGCGGTATGCTCGGCCTTCAAGTCGGTGAGGGCCTCGATATGCTCTTGGCTAGAGCCATCCTCAGCAGTCTCTTGCTTCTCGGAATCGGTGGTGGAATCGGCAGCCTTCGCGCTAAGCTCTTCGATCTTCTCCTGGGATGAGGTGATCTGAGACTTGAGTTCCGCGATTTCGGCCTCGCTAGCTTCCAGCTTGCTCTTGAGCGCCTCAATCTCCTTGGCAGATTCGGCAGCGGCAGCGGCAGCACCGGCGCTCGAAGCCAACGAAGGGCGGGAAGTGTGTCTAGCAGTAGTCGGCGTGGGGCCGGTCGAGCTAGCCAGGGAAAGACGCTTTCTCGCGGCATCGGAGGTGGGTGTGGTAACTGATGCGCGAGAGGCGCTCCGAGCGGCGCTGGCAGCAGAGCTGGTGGTGGTTGGTGTCCTAGAAACGCCGGTGGTGCTTGTTCTAGGTGATACGGTGGAGGTAGCTGGCTTGCGGGCGGCGGCGGTGGTGCTCGAAGTGGTGCTGGAAACCCTGGTGGCTGGCTTAGTAGGCGAAGCACCAGTGCTGCTGGGGGCAACCGATGTACGACGGGAAGCAGTGGTGGACTTGCTGTCGATCTCGGAAGCGGAAGGACGAGTGCGGTGAGAAGCGGTCGTGGTCGAAGCAGCGGTCGTTGGGCGCTTGGGGGCGCTCGAGATGCTGGCCGGACGAGTGGTGGTGGTCCTGCTGGTCGCGGTACCAGTGGTGCTGGTGCGGGTAGCAGAAGAGGCGGTGGGCTTCGTAGCAGTGGAGGAAGCACCAACAACCGAGCGACGGGCAGTTGCAGTTGTGCCTGTTGTGCCTGTCGCGGTCCGTTTCGCAGCCGCGGTAGGGGAGGATTTGGGGCTTGCGCTCTTGGGCGATGCTGCCGCCGTTGGCTTCGCGCCCGCATCCGCTTCCGCAGGGGCATCCGCATCCGCGGTGCCGTTGGTAGATGGCTCTTCGGCTGGTGGCGGTGAGGGAGCGCTCACTGACTGCTCGGCCTCGGACTGGGCAGGCTCTGACTGGGTGGGAGTGGGAGCATCGACCTGCTCAACCACCTCAATGGTGTTGTCGGCTTCCGACATGCTGGGCTATCTGTTGATCGTGGGACGGCGGGGAGTCGGGTGTAAGTCGAGTGCGCAGGATCCACGGGATACCCTTAACTTTCTATGTAAATATCCAACACGTCAGCAACTTGTTGTCCTCCAAATTGAGAGACTTATGGGCGGCCCGCAGTGGTATTTAAGCTTAACAGAAGCTTTGCGGTCAACAAGCTCAAGCGCCGCCCCTCTTTCCCGACAAGTATACGACTACAACCGGTGAAACAAGTTCCAGCTCCACGGACCCGGGGGGCGAAAGCGCAAAAGCCAAAGAACTTATTTTGGCAGCTGGCAACATAGAGAATGAAGAGGCACTTACCGTTTAGTGGTATCTTCTCTGTTCTCGTCCTCCTTGGAAGCCCAAAAGTTGTGCGGACCGGGGTAGACGGGATGATATGCCCACGCTTTGATCGACTCGAGGGGAAAAAGAAGAGGAAATCGGATGGAAGGGTCCTGAAGCTATGACAGCCCAGGGAAATAATTACAAAAAGAAGATACAAAGGGGTTGAAAGAAGGAAACCTTTGCTTCTCGAAGGAAAGTTGTCCAAGTGTTGTTTACAAGAGGTTGCGACAAGAAACAAGAGGGAAAGGGGTTAGGTTGGCGACGGGGAACTCTGAAAGGGGAACAAAAAGTCGGGAAGCTGTCCACGGCCACCGTTGTCGCCCGCCGACCCTTTGCGACCAGCGAATTGGGGGATCTGGAGCTCCTGCTGGGGATCTCATTGGGGGGTCCAGCGCACTATGGCCCAACTTGGGAAAGCGCGGGCCGGTGGTGGATGAAGGTGACAGGGGTAAACCTCTGGTGGAGATTCGGGAGAAGCAGGACGCCTCTTCCTTGGGCAGGGACAATCCATCGTCTTCACTGTCTCACATTAAAAGACAAGTTTCAACTTTTGGCATCTTTGACATGTTGACATCTGACTTTGTTGTTCACATCATTTCACTTCTCTCTGGTCGGCTTCATGCAGAGTCGGCTGGTGCACCACACCGCATGAACACCCTTCTCTGCCGGCATGATACTGGCAGTGACTGGGAGTGCACACCACCACCGATTCAATGGCCAATGCAGAATCGTATCACCATCACCCACCATCACCGCCCTGCATCGAGAATGGCTTGACCTCCAATCGGCTCTGATACGGAATGGCCTTGGGGGATACAGAATGATAGGTCGCTTAGAAGAACCCAACCCTCCATCCTCTTCTAGGCCAGTCATCCAATATCACAGGCTTTGGATGAAAAGGGAGGTCTTTATCAGGTCTGACTTTCTGTACATGGTGAGGCCTTGTGTTCTCCTTGGGTGTTCTGGATTCCCATGCTTCGACAGCCCGGCTCTCCAATGCGACAGGCGACAACGGCCCCAACCGTTTCAACCGGGAAGTCATCTTGGCCACAAGTATCCTGACTCTGATCACCCTCAAGGATGACCATATCCCCTATCCTTGGACGTTATCAATGCGCTTCGAGGAAGTCGACGACATTGAACTTGATCCCCGCCGTCTTACCCTACCTATACAGGTGTCGGACGTAAGGACGAGGATAGGCAGCCATTGATGGTTACCCAGCTGCTCAATGCCGTGTCTTGTGTTCCGGCTCAGAGTATCTCATCTCTCCGATTTCCCGGGTCATATCGCCCACCGTTGTGCTGTCCAGACGATGTACCTCTAGTTACAGCCGAGTCAGTCAAACCATCTACTTAGACCTGCTGACCTAAACCCGTCGAAGCCAAGTACATCGGCGCTCTTGATCTCAACCCGCGATAGCCCAATTGCGACCCATCCATCTTGCAATCACACGGCTAGAGACATGAGATGGTGCTCACCGGGTCTCTTTCTTGGATGGGCTTGTACCCCAAGTCTCCGACTGTTAGCTCCCCACATTCGAGGCGATGGCGGGGAAATTGAAGCCCTCGTGGACAAAACGACAATTATTCGTAGCTCTGGGCCATGTTACGTACCACTGCTCAACGTCTTACCCAACATTTTACGTATTCCCAACTTTCAAATACCTCAGTCAAAGAAACAGCTGTTGTCCAGCTGGCGGTGAGCCTCAACGCAGGAACAACTCACAGTTGGATACTCTTACTCCACTGGCTCCATCATGGCATCAAATAGCCCCAGCAGCGTGGGCCAATCGGGACCGGAAATAGGACTGGACATTAGCGTCATATAAACTTCAAAAGGGGTTCGACTTCTCGACAACTGTTCTTGCAAAAACAGAAGATGGTGAGAGCTTCAAGTCTAAGGTTGTACGAGCTCGACAACTTGAATGTGATCAAGTTTCAGGGTCATACGAGCATACACATATTCTGCTAATTGGCAGTCTCGTCAACCCAGAGCCTGGCAACCCTTTCTAGACGTCGTCTACTGTCCCTTTAAGCTGACCAAGACGCAAAGAGAAGAAAAAAAAACCCAAAATCCTTAGCACAAAAGCTGTCTGGAAGCGAAACCAGCCTTAAGATCAGAAACAGATCTGTACACGTACCGAACCTACCGGTAGATTGCGTTACACAATTGTAGATCACTTGGGACCCTGCTCCTGAGCAGATCAGACATCCCCAAGAATGACAGCCGGGGACGGACGGGACTGAACCCCCTTTCTCACTGTCGAGGGGAGGGTTAGGGTTTTATGTGTCTTAACAGCAACATCACCACCTCCTCAACCTTTGACATTCATGACCCTTCAGTTTATGTGTAATACTCCCAAGGCTCCCCGAACTTCTCTGTTAATCACGACTTGGGCTTCCACTTCCACATACCGCCAAATTTCTAAACGTCATTCATTCCCACCCTTCACTTCTCCTTAGGTACCGATCTCCTCGTTCATCTCCTCCTGCCTCCTCTTCTCCCAAAACCCCTTCCCATAACTAACCACCACCTCTGCTCCCCTTTCAATCCCGACCTCTCTCGCTTTACCAGTAGCCTTCTTCCCAGCGGGCAGGACATAAACCGCCATAGTCTTTTCCTGCCTCAGTGGATCCCAAACGACTTTGAACTCCGCATTTGGCCGCTTTAAAAGGAGTTCCTCCTTTTTGTTCTGCGGTTTGTAACCCGGTGGAAACGCCGGGTTGGGGATCCCGCGGTAGTCATTGACGAACCGGGCTTCGTTCCCGGCGCGAGCGGCGTCGACGGCGAGGTCTTCTGAAGGAGAGCCGACGTGGGAGAGCCAGAGGTCGTAGTCGGATTGTTTGTAGTTGTATTTCACCTCCTGTTCTTCCACCTTTGGTGCTTCCTTCTTCTTCTGGTCTCGTTGACCTTGATCGCCGTCTTGTTTCTCCGCCATCTGCTTTGCCCCATACATTTTGCCATCCTCCGCATTGCCCTCTCCCTTACCCTCCTCCTCCTTAGGCTCCTCAGGAAAAACCAACCCCCCACCCCACTCCTCTCCCCCCGGGTGTATCTCCCCCAAATACCTCACCACAAACTCCCCCGGTTTCAGGTCCCTCGCCGCAAATAGTCCCGCCTGTCCATACGCCGGATGTCTCTTATCCGTGATAGGCAAGATGATGGCCTTGTTGCTGCATGGTCCGGGAACGTAATCGCCTGGTAGCTCCTCGAGAGGCTCGATGGAGTCGGGTGGTGGGCGGGTGCGAAGGGCTGTGTAGTGCGAGGGGGTGAGGAGGGGGGAGAAGAGGGGGGCGGTGAGGTAGGGGAGGGAGGGGGGCCAGTTTGAAGGCAATCCGGAGGAGGAAAGGGCGGTTGTTGGGAGGGGTAGTGGTGGTTTTGGTGTTTGCAACTGCGAGGTGGGTGGTTTTCGTTGTGGTGGTTTCTGGGGTTTTGTGACTTTTGGTTTTCCGCCTGTTGGGTGGGATTTCTTGGCGGGTTTGTGTTTTGTTTCTTTTGGTGCCATTATGGACGACGTTTCTGGGCTTTTTTGCGCTCTTTCGATTAAAGACGTGTTGTTTGTTTGGATGTTGAGAGGTTGCCTGGTGTTGTGATGTTGGATGTTGAGGTATCTTACCATGATGATGAGATTTTGAGGTGCGTATCTTACCGTTACTTGCGCATATCGGTATTTATCACGTCCGTCACATCCGATTCTGTATAGACCGAAGAGGTTAGAAAATCTTGTTACCTTATTTTAATCTCTTTGCAATCAAATTGTATTCCAATTGTTTGATACCTGTAAGTCTTGCCTGGTCGGACATATATTCCCAACGGACAAATGTCAAAAGCCAAGGAGGTGTAACATTGATCTCGGGTTGTGTTGAATGTTATGTACCCCCACGCTCCCAGGGTTCATGTGCAACTCCGAAGCCAAGGTACAACGGCCGAGTTCTCGAACAATGTTAGGCGTGTTTGGTTCGCACAGTCTGATGCTGAGGGGTTCCATTCTCAGCTTGCATGTTTCCTCGCTTGTCTCCTTCGTTTGAAATGACGCAAAACGGACGGCGATCTCCCGACGGCAAGCTTGTTTGTGATCCCGGGATTTGGTGGACACAGTAGGTCTGGGTGTTCTCCAGTGTTCCAAGATTAAATTTCTTCCAAGATCTGGCTTTGAAGCAAAAGCTGCAGTGATGGTCTGCGATGCAAAGTGGAACAAAGGAACCTCCATCGCGGGTGTAGGTACCTCTAATGCAACGGAAATTACCGCCTTAACAAAGGTACGTACTCGGCGCTAGGCCAAGATCAACGTACCCGGCAAGGGCCCCCCGGAGGCGGCTTCCGTAGGGCACAGAACGCGCTGACCAGGGCTACTTCTAGTGGGTGGTATTAGCGCCCGGAGCCCCAGCTCTATCCGCAATTACACGGGTCGAGTTAGCCGCACTTGGACGTCCCCCAGACGACATCTACCTCATCGACACCCCTCGACGACATTGCTCGCTCTTCACTTTTCTTCAGTTCCAAGTTCCAACCAAGACCTTGCGAGGGCTTCTCTTCCCGATGGCGTCCTGCGCTTCCTAACGATCAAATACGCCCATTCTCAGTTATCCAAAACCCGACGGTATCGAACGAACATCCAACCTGCATCATCGAGCGCATACCCAACCAGGGCACGAGAAAGACGAGACACGAAACGCGCCGCGTACCCAGCCGGGCTTACACCTCTTTACGCGCCCATCATAACGACCGAGCCAGTTTCGCCGCAATCACGCGACACCTCACACACTCAATGGAAGAGAAATCAATAATGGCGGGCGTGGACAGGTTGATGGATGATGATGATGTGGCGGTCATTGACGATGACAGCAAAGAGCAGGCAGCAGACACTACCACTACCACTACTGGTGCGACCAACACAGGCATCAACAACAAAAGCGGGGGCTTTGGATCTGGATCGGGATTCTTGACCAAAACAAGATCCCTTTCGGACGGCGGCGCAAAAGAAACACCAAAGCTCTCGCCAGCACCGCACATCTTCAGCGATCCACGACGGCAGTCCCAGGATGATATTGCCATCCGGGACAACAAAGAACGAGTGGCAGACGGCAACGCTTTCTCTGCGCAACCATCAACTCCCGTCCGCGCGGGGTTCCCAATCAGAGGCCTAACGCTGCAACTACCCCAGCTTGGTGAAGGCGATGCACTCCATCTTTCACATCTCCAACAACACCCGCAGGTGCATGTCAACCACCTGAACCTCAATGCCACTTCGCCATCGGCAGCACATTCACAATCCCATTCCCACTCCCACTCCCAGCTGCAGTCCCAACAACAACAACCATCATCCACCCCTGCGGGAGCGCCCGCCTCGACCTCCACCTCTTCCGCCCACGTCAAACCCGCTGCCCCTGCCCCGCTCTCACCAAAGCTTGACCATTCGCACATCTACGCCTCGCCCTCTCCAAACATCCTGCCTCGTCGGTCACGCGGTCTGGACTTCAGCCGCGCAGCCACTACACTTCACCATTCCACCGTTGTCGACCAGGCCTCGCCCAGCTCCTCTCCTACCATTGGGTCCAGGGCCATGAACATTCCCGCCGGCCCTGGGCGATGGCCCGGCGAACATGGCACCACCATGGAGCAAACGTCAAACTCGCTGTGGTCCGTCATGGGCAATCGCGCTCACGAGCGCATGCATGTGTCAAGCTCCCTAGGCAGTAACGCCCACACGTCCCATGCCCTATTCACCGATACCTCGTCCAGTTCGGATGACGATGACATCATGGACGAGGACATGGAGGAATCCATTGTCACCACGCCGTCAGCAAACAAGATGGCCATGGGCGGCCAACACCCATGGATGCCCGGCGGTAGCTCGCCAGCAGTTAACAGCCTACTGAGCTTCCAGCAACGTCAGCGCAGGAAACAACCAAAGAGCAGGAAACACAAGACGCCGCTGGGCTTGGGCTTCCATCCAACAACTCCCATGGGCGCAACCACGTCCATGTCTCCGCCACAAGGCTTGGACGGCCCGCAGCCCAGGAGGGAGAGCATCAGTTGGGCCGCCAACCAGTTGCATATCTCCGGTAGTGAGAGTGATGATCCTAGCAGGCAGCTTGAAGCGGTCGACAGCCCGTCCCGACCAGGAGTCATCCGGCGGACTGTGACCCGTCATAGGGGAAACTTGCTGGTATGTCGTACTGTCGTTCCTACTATTTGCTCGCTATTGACACGGACTAACCGTGGGACCTAGCCCAAGACCAAGGGTTTCGCCCGCATCCGCGCTGCCCTTCTCGAGGAGAGCGCACCTATCGAGGCCGAAGTCAAGCGTGAAGCCGAAGTCGTCCGACAAGTACGAGAGAGCGACATGGATCTGGAACCTAGGTTACCAACCTCCGCCTTAACCAGTCCCAACCTGACTGCGGCCCAAGACAGCATGGACGACGTCGACGCGATGATGATGATGGACTCGAATGGAAGCAGCAGTGGCAACGGCAACACAACGCCTGGCGCTATTCCAGGCGGCATACCTGGCAGTAGTAGCTTCAAACAGCAGGTCCTGAAGAATTCCAAGGGCAAAATGTTTTGGGACACGTTTTCGGAGAGTGGGGCAAGCAGCAACGGGATGCGAACACCGCCAAACTTTGGACTACCGAGGGGCTCATCATCAGCCATGAGCATCGATGACATGAGCATCGACTCGCCGTCTTCGAAATCCGAGAGCCAACCGAAGCAAGGCCCTACGCCTTTCGCCCTACCGCCACCCGGAAATCCACCAACAACATCCTCATCCTCTTCTACCACACTAGCCAGCACAAGCTTTCCAGGCGCCACGAACGGTGTTCCGACAGCAGCCGAAATTACGCGCCGAATTAACAACAAGCGACGCCGCGACGACGACCTCGACCCTATGAGTTTCAAACGACGAGCCGTGAGCCCCGGCATGGGCTCGCCGATCATGCAGAGTCCGATGCAGAGGGACCACGCACCCTGGGGCCCAAGTTCATCACGACCGGGTAGTGTGAATGGGGACGGGGTAAGACAACAACAAGAAAATCACCATAATGGTAATACCGTGGTGGGAGGAGCTACTACGCCAGTCCACGGAAGACCCAGCTTCAGCACAGGCAAGAGGGTTGGGCTTCAAGGGATGGTGGACACGAATGATGGGATTACACGGCTCAGCATCGAATAGGAGTCTCTGCGATCTTGCCGGCGCCAAAGTCCGTAAGCTTGAAAGAACAGGGTTTACGGAATATGGATGAAAGCGGCGCAACAAACGAAACCGTTGCGGCCGCATGCAGAGATAGGCATGGAACAGAAGATACAGGCATGAATACATGAGAAAGCCTGGCAAAATCAGCGCCGAATAGCGTACATGGTCACAGCTGTGAAGCAGCCAACATAGGACCTGCATCCGATGGACTGAAAAAAAAAAAAAAAACCCCCCCAGCTTTGGTCCTTTACAAGGTAGGGCTGAAAAAGAGAGGAGTGCCGGAACAAGAATCACCAGAAAATGGAACGGTTTCGGATAAGTATACGTACGAATGATGCTTGAAAGGAAGCTTCGCCATTTTGCCTCGCATGGAAATTCGGCAAAAGATATTGTTTGAAGGCAGTTTAGCCTACTAAGGTCCGTTGTAAGGACCTGGTTCTGGTGTGAAGCCCTGGTGGCTGAGTAGGAATTTGATAGCGCATCAGTTCCAGTTTACATGTTTAGTTGAGAAGCTTCTTTATGAAATGATTAAGACTAAAGCACAATTATATTAGTTCAAGTGTGAATATCATATGCTAAATTGACTGTCATTGATGGTAGATAAGTTGTGCAACATCACGTAAGATATGGGTTAGGGTTGTGTATCTGCCAAGCCTTGACGATAAGACCCCCCTGAAGGTGACACAAACAACCCCCTTTTCTAAACAAACACCACCATCGCGATCGATGCCGTCAAACCGCCTTAGCACGAGGGATAGGCGTCCCCTCGCGAAAGACCTTCCCGATAGAGAAGTTCCAGCGTTTTGAATTCTTACAAATACACTTGCGGCCTTGTTTGCTTTGTTAGGAAGTCGCCGCTTCCCCAAGACTGATCGCCGTCAAGTCAAAGACGTCATCTCCACGCACTAACAGCCAACTCTCCAACTTGTTGCTGTTAGCAACAGCTCGATAAGCAGGACAAGATGCAGAGCCTTCGCAGTCCAAGTGCAGATATAAATGCCTTCCCGATCTTCAGTTTCGCTGGTGAGAACCTCTACGGCTTTTCATCAACAGAATCATCATCTCAAAACGACAAAGGATCTGACGAACCCGCATTGTATCCAGGGCACTACCAGACCTTAACAACAAACTGAGCTAAGCTCCACCATCACTTACACGGAAACATCCTTATCACAACCACCAACTACGTCACATCACATACCTATCCAAAATGGGCTACCCAGAGACTTTCGAGGGCTTCGTCGTTGACTCGCCCAAGACCTGGAACCAGTTCCACCGCCACGAGCTCAAGCCCAAGCCCTTTGGCGATGACGATGTCGACGTCCAGATCGAGTGCTGCGGCGTCTGCGGGTCGGACGTGCACACCGTCACCGGCGGCTGGGGCGAGTTCGAGGGTCCTCTCTGCGTCGGGCATGAGGTTGTCGGCAAGGCCGTCAAGGTCGGAAAGAACGTGTCGGAGATCAAAGTGGGCGATCGCGTCGGTGTTGGTGCCCAGGTGTGGGCCTGCCTGAAGTGCGATGTCTGCAAGAGCGCCAACGAGAACTACTGTCCTCACTTGGTTGGTATGTGTTAATCCCCCTCCCTTTTATCCTCACCTTTTTATGTCAAAAACATCTCACTAACAATATATAAAGACACCTACAACGCCAAGTACCCAGATGGCTCCGACGCCACCGGCGGCTGGGCCTCTCACATCCGCGCCCACCAATACTTCACCTTCAAGATCCCCGACGCCATCCCGTCCCATCTCGCCGCCCCCCTTCTCTGCGCGGGCATCACCACTTACTCCCCACTAGTCCGCGCCAAGGTCGGCCCCGGCAAGACGGTCGGCATCATCGGCATCGGCGGCCTCGGCCACCTGGCCATCCAGTGGGCGCGCGCCTTGGGAGCCGACACCTACGCGCTGACTCACTCGGAGTACAAGACGCAGGACGCCAAAGAGCTGGGCGCGCAGCACGTCATCATCACGGGCGACGACGAGAAGTGGGCGGAGCCGTACAAGTTCAAGTTCGACTTCATCCTGAACTGCGCCAACGCCACGCACAAGTTCGACATGAAGACGTATCTTTCTCTCCTCAAGGTCAACGGCGAGTTCCACATGGTCGGCATCCCCGAGGAGCCACTCGCGCCCCTGGAGCCGTTTGCCTTCCTGGCGAACGGATCCAAGCTGTCGGCCAGCCACTTGGGAAACAACCAGGAGATGAAGGCCATGTTGCAGCTGGCGGCGGATAAGAAGATCTTCCCCAAGGTTGAGACGCTCCAGCTGGGTGAGGAGGGGTGCAAGGAGGCGGTGGAGAGGGTTAAGGAGGGTAATAAGGTGCATTATCGGTTAACCTTGACTGGCTTTGATAAGGTTTTCGGAAAGGTTGAGTATGGTGCTTAAGTTTCGTGGATGTGGATGTGGATGGGAGTTGTGGGGGAGATACCCGTTGTTTTGCACTTATTTAGACCGCTAATAAGCGCTTTGAGAATATGACTGATGAGTTATGATGAGTACATTTATGGCAATTCTCTTCGTTATTATTGACAACGAGCGTGTGTCTTGAAAGTCCCAATTGTGCTATGTAGCTGCCCGTTCAAACGGTCGAGATTTGTCCCTACTGGGAGACAATGAAAGTCAAGGCAAACCAGCTGGCTCTCTAAAAGGCACGTCAAACCTCTGCAAGATCTCCTCAAGTCGATGCAAGTTCGAAGATCGACTTGACTTGTCTCTCTCTCTGCCTTTCATGCTCCCCTCAATAAGGTAGCCAAGAAAGTATGATCATGCTCGGTACAGAGAAGGGTTCTCTCAAGTTGGGTAATGCAAGTTTGAAGCATGGACCTGACTGGACTTGTCTCTTTCCCTTTCTTCTACTTGCGTCGATGCATGGAACCGAGGTAGGTAGGCGAGGTAGGTAGGTACTTACGCTGGCTGGCATGGTTTTTACTCGGTACCCGAAGAGAAAGATCTCCTCGAACCGATGCGATGCAAAGTTCGAAGATCTCGACTTCAATGACTCAGCTTGTTCTCTGTCTGTCTTTATTGCATCTGAGGCACTGCAAGGCACTGCAAGGCACTGCAAGGCACTGAGCCAAGGTGCGGTAGGTAGATATAGGTATAGGTATAGGTATAGGTAGTCATCCGCGTGTACGTAAAAGAGAAAGAGAAAGATCCCCTGTCGAAGGGAACGAAGCAAGCCACTCTATTCTACATATGCACCTGTACCATAGTGAGTAGGCGGAATGTGAGTCTGTCTGTCTGTCATGTCAAGTAGAAGTACTTTAGGTAGGTATGTGTCTTTTTTTCCTTCTTTGATCTCCCGGACTTGTGTGGCGGGCTGCAAGCCTGCAATACAAGATCTTCTAAAGTCGATGCAAGTTTGAAGGCTGCATCGAGACGGGACTCCGAGGCAATATGCCTGGAAAGCACTTGTACCTACTGCACAGAGAACAAGTAAGTAAATGCCTGAAAGTGCAGCTGTCCTCGTCAGCAACTATGGTAGGTACTTACCAGGTTTTTGTCGGGAAATGTCCGGACTCGATTGTGCTCTCTCAATTCAGTTCCGAGCGCATCAAGAAGTGAAGGAGGTCAAGTAGTTCCTTCCTTTAATAACCTTGGCAACTATCTCACTCGGCCGAGGAAGAAGGAGCATTCGCTCGGTGCTGTTCTATCTGAGAACTTGGGCACCAAGATCCGTGTCGTGCTCGCATGCAGAATGCCAGAAAATAGGTGCGCATCCCGATGTCGCAGTTATAGCAGCGGAAACGGGGCTTTCATGCAAGAGTGCCGTAGAAACTCCCGGAAGGCATTGCAATGTCGAACCTTACTGCTGTCGTGCAAGTTGTTTCCTCCAGGGCTGCCAGGTTCAAGCTCTCCTCGGTGCTTCCAACATCCATATCGCCACCAAATGCAAGGTGTCGACTTATGATCCTAAAAAGAGAGCTGGAAGCAAGCTTTTGCCGTCATCGAGACAGTCTGTCAAGCTGTAAACGGCTTTTGGGACCGAGGAATGGTCATGAGGACGGACGAGAAGAAGGAAAGTAATGAGACGAATGGAAACTGTCTTAGTGCTTTTCAGGCGATGTCGTGGTCTTGGTGATCAGATCAGGCTGCATGCAGTCCACGTCAATTTGTCCTGGATGAGACTGGCTTCTGGGAGCTGCCAGAGCAGAGCACAGCTGGCAGACTTCTCAGTTCCGGTCTTAAAGGTGCCAAACCACACCTCACCTACCTACTCAACGACCGTACACCGACCGGCCTTACTCTGCTAGTCTACACTACTCCTGCCTCGCCAACACAGAAATCAAAATGGAGAGATATCTTGAGGACTACGAGTCCGGGGTCGGACGCGGACGCATCACCCACCCGACGCCCTATCTATTCGAATACATCGACAAGATCTTCGAAATCGACAACCGGGTAAGGCTGCTGCTTTCCGCAAGCTCGCAGATGGAGAAGACAACGCCGACAGGAGCCTCCCCCGACGAAGCCGAGGCATATATGAAGCGATTCGAGATTTCGGTTCTCAAAGAAATCATGTTCTTCAAAGAAGGCATGATGAATGACGACCGCAGGTTCCGGACCGCTCTTCTCAGGATCAGATCCCAGCCGGCAACCGAAGCGGGGATGCTTCAAAGCCTCGAGAATTTGGAGATGTTTTGGAATGAAGCGGTAGACAAAGCTTCGGCCGCCAAGGAGACGGCTATGGAGAGGGTGAAGGAGTATAAGCAACTTTACCCTGAGACCTTGTTCGGAAAATGGCCTCCTGGTTTCTGGGCCGGGGAGGCGGGTTAGAGAATCACGCAACAACCCTGGGATTTTCTCTTTGAAAGCCCTGACCCCAAACTCATTGCCCCGGAACTGATATGCGGTATGGCTGGTTTTCACCATGCTCGACGACGACGTACCACCTGATCGGTATCCTGCGGAGCGGAGCGCGGAAGGCTGTGAGTTGACTTATCTGATTCCCTTACCAATAAAGTATCTTGAGCTCGTTGACTGACAACCTTTTGCGTGTCAGATCTTTGAAACGCTCGATCGGCCTTCCCAAAATAGGCTCGACAGTTCGGGGGAGACGAAACGAACCTCGC